ACGTTCCGGTTGGGGACGGGAGGAGGGAGCAATTCTCCGCACACCGTAATTCCCTGCCCTAGAAATTAATCTCAGGCCTTCTCTCTGCTGCAAACTGCATAAGCGTAAATAGTGTCTCAGTGTTTCAACTGGTGTAAACCCTTTTGCGTTTCCTAAATTAATCCCAGCCAGCTTTGAAATGAATCTCTTTTTTTTTTTTTTTTTTTTAAGGCAATCAAGAATTTTCTGGTTTAATTAAACCCCGAGGAAGGGGTGGGCTGGGGTGGGAGTGGGGATTACCTTCCCCACCCGCTCACGTTGGCTTTAACGTGACCGTGGAGCAAACGTCTCCATGACCCCCTGCCTCAGAAGAGGAAAAATCCCCCAAATGGGGCATTTTCCAGCTGTGGGCTGGGTGGGAGCTGTGGACTTGGGACCATGTGGGCTCCATCCTGCTGCCATCAGGGTGGCGGCTTTATCAGGGTCCCTGTCACCTCAGCTGGTCACCGGTGTCATGCCTGTGGATGGCGTGGTGCCCCAGGACAAGAGCCACTGTCACCCATGGCCAGAGGGATGGGGACACCGGGGAGGATTTTACCAGATATCAGCTCCTAACTGACGGCATCCGCTCACCCTTGTAGGGACTTGTCCATCCCCTGAGCCTCAAGGATGTGCCCTTGGGGGGTCACGCGTAGCCTCAGCCCTGTACAGGTCCTCCTGGTGCCTGGCTGTACCATGGAGCCCGTTCCTGCTCTGAAATCTCCGGTGTAATCCATCCCTCCTGCTCCCCGCTCCAGAGAGAAACCTTAGAGCTCAGTTCACCTTGGCTTGTGGGCTGACGCAGCGCCAGGCGATAGCTGCAGGGTCTGGAGTAAAAAAATGGAGGAAAAATCCTGCAAAATGTCCAGCCCAGCTGCGGGATGAGGATGGACGAGCCTTGTGGGGATAGGGGAGGGCTGCAGGCAGGGTGTCTTGTGTGCAAGGTGGGGGGTGAGCCCAGAAAAACGGGGTTTGGTGGGTGCTCGGAGCGGGAAACGAAAGGGCTGGTGCAGGTTAACGCAGCCGCGCTCATGGAAGGATGGATGAAGATGGATGGAGGTTCTTCTTCTCCTGCTGTTCTTAGTCTGGGAGATGTTCAGGGAATGCAGAAATTTTCCAAGGCACCTGTCTCGCTCAGGGCTTGCTACGACGTTGATGGACGCCACGACGGATAAGGACCCTCTCGTGCAGGAGCAGATCTACAATGCGCTCTGCTACCTGGGGGAATCGGAGCCCGAGGAGATCCTCCACTCCTGCGACGAGTACCTCCGGCAGCACGACAAGGTGGGGGGCTGCTCCGCGCGGGCATGGGGACGTCGGCAGGGTGGGACGGAATTCCCTGGGGATGTCGGCAGGGTGGGACGGAATTCCTTGGGGATGTTGGTGGGGTGGGACGGAATTCCGTGGGGATATCGGCAGGATGAGATGGATTTCCCTGGGGATATCAGCAGGATGGGACGGAATTCCCTGGGGACGTTGGTGGGGTGGGACAAAATTCCCTGGGGATGTCGGCAGCGTGGGACAGATTTCCTTGGGGATATCGACAGGATGGGACAGATTTCCTTGGGGATTTCGGCTCTGCCAGTGAGCGAGGGAGAACCTGGGGGGGGTTGGGCTAAAAGAGCCACTGAGAGGTCTGCTCCGAGGAGCTGGAGTTGTGTGGATGAAGAAATGGCGATAAAATGGATGAGAAACGGCCACCGGTCCCTCGCCGGGGATCTCACAGCTCAGGGACGTGTGGATTTTGCAGCCGTGACGCCTTGCTGAGCTTCTCTTTTCTTTCCCAGCTGGCGTACCCCCACCGGGTGATCATCCTCAGGGCAATGGAGACGGTGGTGAGGAACAACATCTCCCTCTTGGACAAAAGCACGGCCAAGGTCGTTATCTTCCTGGCGTCTAATGAAATGACCAAATCAAAGGTACGATGTGAAAGCTCCAGCTCCTCCTGTCGCCAGTCTTGGCCAGCGTTGGGGTCAGTGCTGTGGGCTGGGGGCTGCCCCAGTGGTGGGGGTCACCAGGATGGCTGTTGGGGAGGGGAAGGGCTTAGTACATGCTGTCTTCTGGACGTGGGATGGTGGAGGGAGCAGGGGACGTGCTGTGTTCCTCTGGGGGGAGGAGAGGATGGTTTGGCTGACTTTTTTTTCCAGCACATACACAGTGAAATAAAAATGGGATGCTGAAAAGGAGCTGGGCAGGTAGGGGGGAAGGAGCAGAGCCTTGAGGGGCTGCAGGTTCCTGAGGGGAAAAAATTGTGTCGGAATCTTGAGCCGGGTGTTCAGCCTGCCCTATGCAATTCCCCGCGGCGTTCGGAGCCAGGTGGGACGCGTGGCGTTCAAACAAAGCTGGAGCAGGCTCCTGGGGACCCGCATACCTGCCGTGGCGTCTGTTCCGACGCGTTTTCCTCCATCCGCGCCAGGAGGTGAGCCGGGACTGGCAGCAAGCTGCCAGCGACGTCCTGGTGGCTGTGGGACAGCGCTTCATCAACAAGGTGATGGAGGAGGCGCTCACCAAGTTCCAGCCGGGGATCCTGCCGCACTACTTCATCTTGCAGACCTTCGCCAACCTCTCTGTGTCCAATGGTGAGTGGGAAACCCGCCGTCTCGGTGTGCTGCTGCCGGGCTGCGTTGCCGGTGTGCCACTAAACAAACTCCTCGGGATCTGACAGCTTGATGCTGCTGAGCCACGGAGGTGTTTGTGAAATAACCTGTTGATGGAACACGCTGAAAAAGCAGCAAACAGCAGCAGGGCAAGGACAAGGACTCACTTGTGGTGTCCTTTTTCCCCTTTTTTTCCAAAGAGATGGGGCACGGGAAGAGGAAGGGGGACCAGGCATTGGGAGGAGTTTTGGAAAACCCTGATCTTCGCAGGGAGCTGGTGGGACTCATCTGGGGGTCCCAGGGGAGCCCCTGGCTTGTCTCACAGCAGCCTGAGCAGAGCTCCCGATCCTGGGCTGCTCCAGGACCCGTCAGGCTCACCCGGCGGCTCCGAAACAGGGGGAGCTCTGCAAGGAAAGCCATGGGGGAGCTCAGCTCTGCCCTGGGGTGCTGGTACCGGTCCGTGTCCCTCCTCTGTCACTGAAGGGATACGCAGCTCCGTGTCCGGCCAGGCTGGGGCCGCTGGAGCCCTGGATGGGAGAGGGGACATATGGCACGGACCCGGCAGAGGAGCTGAGTCCTGTGAAAGTATGCTGAAGTTAGAAATTGCAGGGAGCTCGGCTTCATGGCTCAGCCAAGCACTTTAAAATGTTTCCTGATTAAAAAATCGGAGCTGCCTGGCCCTCTTCCTTAGAGGATGCTCCTGTCTCCAGCCATCCCAGGAAAACTGAGTTTAAGAGTTATAATCCTAGGGTAGGACTTCTGAACGGCAGCAAGTGGGACAGAGCCGGTAGCTCACCGGCTTTGGGAAACTGTCGTGAATGTCGGGGGCTCAGAGGAGCAAGATGCTGCCGTGCTGGGATGTCCCCACTGCGTGCTGGGGTGTCAGCTCCCACCGGGGCTGTCGGCATCCCTCCTGTGGCAAAATCGAGCTCTGGGCTGGCAGCGAGAGGGTTTCTGGGGTGCCAGTGCGATCCTGCGGGGTCCGTGCCCTGCGCAGGTGGGGGCTGCTGTGGAGTGGCTCTTGGGGGTTTGCTGCGAGTGATCCTCTCCCGTTTCCTTCCCAGTGTTCGGAATGGTGCCGTTCCTCAACTCCATCCTCGGGACGATGCTGCCCATGCTGGGGATGGCCAAGCAGGACCACATGAAGGCCGTCTTCTGCTACGGTGAGGTTTTTCTGCACCTTTGGAGGCTGCAGTGGTTTTTGGATGTGTTGTGGGGAAATTTTTTCCTTTCTCTGGAAAAGGAGTGACCGTGGGCACGGGCTGGGGAGGGGGCTTGGATGGAGCTTTCCTGGGTGGCCGGGAGCAGGGACCGGGCTGGAACAGATGGAGAGCTGCCAGCTCTGGGACACCAGGATCTGTCAAAAATCCTTCTCAGTCCCCTGTCTGATCGCTGACGCTCCTGTTTCATAGCCCAGGGAGTCCTGGCGACCTTTGCTTTCTCCTCCAGCAAAGAGAAGGCGGATAAGCTGAATGAGGGGAGATTTAGGTGAGATATCTGGGAGAAATTCTTCCCTGTGCAGGTGGTGAGGCGGTGGCACCAGCACAAGCATTTGCCCCGACGGGAATTCTGCAGAGGCCGGGATGCAGCAGCGGTGCCAGCGCTCGGCCAAGCCGCTTCTGTAATTCTCTGGAGACAGTTTTAGGATGTGACATTGTGGTGGGGCTGGCAGGATGTCACAGGGCTCTGGGTGGGCTGGCAGGATGTCACGGGGCTCCCTCCTCGTGACCCCCTCCTCCAGCCATGGGCTCGCCGATGCTGCTGCTTGTGCAGTGGGATTTGGGGCAGAAATACCAGCCCTTATATTGCTGACAACGGCAAAACAGCCTCGGTAATATCCAGCAGAGGATAAATAAATCCATAAAGGATTCCTGGATTCCTTTTTTAATTAAAAAAAATAAATCCATCCAGGATCCATAAATAAACTTATGGAAAAGTTGATTTTCCATAACTGGGCAAAAATAAAATGTGGTCTGGGGGAGTCAAGGGCTCTGACAGGCCTCGGGAGGTGCCGGAGCTCCCGGACAGTGCCATCGCTCTTATCTCGTGTGGATGCTTCCACTGGAGGCGGAGGCGTGGGAGAGGTGTGGGAATGCTTACATGGCTCCGTGCGGTGAGGGATGGATGGGACGACCGGGAGCTGATGGATGGGCCGACCGGGAGCTGACCTCGGAGCCGGTGGAAGACCGGGCTGAGGGCTGGGGCATGGGCAGATGCCCCTCCCCGGCCCCTCCCAAAATCCCCGGGAGGCTGCAGCGGGGACTTTGTGCTGCCCAGAGGGGACGTCCCGGCTCCGGCAGCCGCCTGCGGAGCTCGGAAGGCATCGCCCGCCGACACGCTGGATTTCTGGCTCCGTGTGGTTTCTGTATAATATTTTTTTTTGACAAAGTTCTCAATAACTGGAAGGCAAATGAGGTAACTCTGGTGTCGGCACAAGCGTGCGACATGGGCAGGGCTTTTTGGGGCGGTTTTGCTGTTCTGGGGTGGCCCCGTGCAGAGGGATGGGGGCAAGGCGGTGCCAAGGCTACAGGAGAGTTACACAGGGCTTGATCTGGGCTGAACGTGGGGATTTGGAGACACGATCCTGGTTTTACTGCTCCGGAGGAGTCGGTGAGGTCCTGCTTTTTGATTTGGGAGCAGTGCTGCTCTGTAGGAAAGAGAATGAGCTTCCCAGGTGCATCCTCAAACCTTCCTTGCCAGAGTGGCTATTGCCCCCAGGCTCCTGGCTACCAGCTTTTTAAAAAAAAAAAAAACACAAAAAAACCCCCAAAAAAGTAAAGCCAGGCATAGCATCACCCTCGCATCCACCCAGCTTTAAGCCAGGGGAGGGCTCCTGGGTGATATTTTTGGCTGAACGTGGTCACGTTTGTCAAGATGAACTTCTCGCAAAAAAATTTAGGAGAGTTCAACCTAAACAAGGTGTTTTGAATCCAGCCTGGAGCTGGAGCGAAAAGGGGTCTGGGAGGGGTCTAAATTTCCCTCCCTGCTCCAGAGAGGTGCTGGGGGGCAGCTGGGGACCCTCCTGCCCCCTCCGAGGTGGGCATCAATGGGAATCCCGTGTCTGCCCAAAGAGCAGCCGGACCCTCCCCACATCGGACCCTTCTCCTGGGGGTCCATCGTCCTTGCCCACAGGGATGTCCCCTCTCTGCCCTGCCTGCCCCTGTCTGAGCTGTAGGGAGCAGCCTGGGGGGGTTCTGCCCCCCCGTGAGGCCAGCAGAAGCTGGGGAGCGATGGTCGGAGGGAGGGAAGTCCTTGCAATAATTCTTGCATGCCACTGGCTGGGTCCTGGTGAAGATCAGGAGGCATGTGATGGAAAAGATCTGGCTTCTCTGCGAGGTCGCGGAGTGACTCAGCAGCTCAGAGCTTACCCGGCTGAAAATAAACATCTGCTGGAGGCCAGCAGGGAGCCGAGGCTGTGCAACTGCACTGTGGGGTGGGCAGGGTCCCGGGCTCCTTCCTCCTCCTCCTCCTCGAACCCGCTTCATCCTCTGGGTGCGATAACGCAGGTGCATCAAGCTCGTGCTGGGTGCAGGGACGCGGAGAGCTGGCGTGCATCAACTCCCGCTCGTTTCCTTCCATCTTTTGCCAAAATTCCACTGCAGGACCCCCCTACCCAGGGCACAGGGGCGTCGTGGGGATTTTTTCTTCACCCCGTTTGTGCAGGACGCACCTTGCGAGGTCTCTGTCCCCGGAGCAGCTGAGCAGCTCCTGCTGAGCAATTTTCTGGACATTTGTGGGTCCCGCTCCAGTGCTTGGTGGCCCGTGGCCACGCCAGCAGCCGGGGCTCTGGACTTGGTGGGTCGGTGGCACAGCACAGGCACAGCAAGGTCCCTTTGTTAAGAAAAGGCTAACAAAGGGCAAGGGAGACAGAAAACCTCGCTGTGTGTTCAGAGATTAAGGAAGGGAGGGACAGTGGGGTCTGTGCACGTGTTTCCCGGTGCCTGGGGGTTCCGGGGACGGGGCAGGAACCCAGCGAGGTTTGTGCTGAGCATCCAGAGCAGCATCCCATCCAGGAGCTCCTGAAGCCAGGACCCTTTTCTTGGTGTGTTCCACTGTCAGATAACTCCCAAAATAAATCCAGGGGGGAGCCTGCAGCCCCTGGGGGCTGTCAGCTGCGTTGGGTGATCCCTCAGCTGCTCCAGGAACTTAGTAGAGCCTCAGGGAACCCCGTGAAGCCGTGGCGAAGACTTCCTCAGGGCTGGGGGGGGCTGGAAGGTGGGTGTCCCCTGCGGTCCTCAATCTCTGAGCCTTTACACAGCCATGCTCTCATCACTGGTCCAATTCGCAAGAGGAAAAACAATGTGTGCTGGCACACGGCGCTCGCTGGCCCAGGGAGCGGAGGAGTTCGTCAAGGTGCGGTGCTCTGGCTTGTCCGTGCCTGGCAGCTGGAATTCTTGGCGGCTGTAGGTGCTAACAAAGGCGTAGAAATAACCTATGGGGCAAATCAGGGCTCCCCGTGTTGGGTTTCTAGAGGTGGTGATATCAGCATGAAGCAGCTTGTGTCTCTGGCATCCTGCCTGCCAGCATCCCTCAGAGCCAGGACACCTCCAGAAAGTCTCTCGGGAGAATTTCGGTGCATCTGCTCTCCCTTGAGATGCTGCCCAGCACGACAGCACGTCGACCATCTGCTTTCTGGAGAGGTTAAAACAAACACTGTCGTGTACGCTTGGAAAAAACCTAACCATGAGATCTGTCTCATAGCTCTGCAGCACTTCAGCGAGAGCATCCAGGAGTATTTGGCGAATTTGGACAAGGCACCAGACCCCACGGTCAGGAAGGACACCTTCTCCAACGAGATCTTCAGCGCCTACGAAGTGCTCTTCAACAGCTGGCTGCAGCACCGGGAAGCCAAGGTGGGGACGTGTGGGGACAGCGGGACCTCCCTGGGGGTGCTGGGGGGCTGTTAATCTGCTGGCCGCCTTGTGGTGTCCCGGCTCTGCCCTTTCGCAAGGACTTGGCCCCCAGAAGAGTGAGCCCCCGGCCCTGATGTAGGGGATGGAAAAGCTGGATGCTTTTTTTCTCGTGCCCTGCAGCTCTGCTTGGGTCCCTCTGTCCTCGTGCGCAGCTGTAACGCGTGCAGGGGGGTCGCTTGCTCCCCTTTGCGGCAGAGCAGAGGGTGCTTCTGCAGCTCTTTGGGGATGGTCTGGGCACGTGCCACGGCTGGGTATTGTCCTCTGCAGGTGTTGGTGACGTTTTTAGGCGTCCCCCTTCTCTGCTGAGCACCCCTTGCACTTCAACTGGAAAAACTGGGAGAAATGCTGTCCCTGCCGCTGCTCGGAGGCTCCTGGAAGCTCCTGGAGCAGCTCCATCCCCGTGGTGCGATGCCACAGCAGGTCCAGGGCCGGGGCCACGTTATTGATGCACAATTTCTCCCTGCAGCTGAGACTGGCCGTGGTGGAGGCTCTAGGACCCATGAGTTACCTGATGCCGGGTGAAAAGCTGGAGGAGCAGCTCCCCAAGCTGATTCCAGGCATCCTCGCCCTCTACAAGAAGCACACGGAGGCTTTCTACATATCCAAGGTGAGCTGCTCCAAGCGCTTGGGTTGCTGGCCAAGGACCTGTCCCCAACCCTGGGGTGTACCGTGGGTACCCCTGCCCGCTGGCCACGGGCCGGGTTGTGGTTTGGCAGCACAGGAGGGATGCCAGGCAGTGGCTCTGCCCATCCTGGAGAGCAGCCTGTGGTCAGTAAAGTGATTTTAGTCCTTACCAATGGCCTCACGCAGCTGGGCTGGGCTGCGACTGCCTTTTCCATGGGAAATTCCCTCTCCCTGCATCATGATCTCTCTTGGTACCGAGCCCAGGCTCAGTTTTTTCCCAGTGAGCTGGGAGGACGGAGTGGGCTCCAGCCCATCTCCGCTGCCATCTCCTGGAATGGTGCCGAGCCCCTTGTTCTTGGGATCGTGGGATCTTCGTGATCGCTGCTCTCACCTACAGTCCCTCCCCTTGGGCTGGCATTGCACGGGGGGGGTTCTCCATCCTCCTCTGGAACCCAAATATTTTCCTGCTGCTGACTGCAATCTGGTCTCTTGCTGAGCAGAGCCTCTGCCAGATCCTGGAAGCTTCCGTCGACATCGGCAGCCGCAGCCTTGACACACAGCTGGACCCTCTCCTGGGCACCCTGCACCCCCAGGTAGGGGCTGGCCAGTGAGCGGCCGCCCTCGGGGACGTTGGGCTGGGGACAGGGCTTCTTGGGGGGTGGCACGGCGTGAGCTCAGGCTGCAGGGCTCCAGGCTTCCCCTGGCTCAGCCTGTGCAGCCCGCTCGGGGTGTCTTTTTTTTAACACTGAACTGACTCAGAGTCTTGGGAGAGTCCAGCTGAGAGGCTGCCCTTTAAAATACACTTTTACCCAAGCGACGCATAACCAAGCGAAATAACAGTGCTGTTTGTAGGAGCTGCTTCTTGAAGATGGATTTCCATGGGCAAAAGCTGCTCGTGGCTGCGGGATGTGGCTCGGAGGCTGTGGAACGTGGCTGGCCTCACACAGCAGCTCTGGCTCGGTTGCAGACCAAAGTGTCTTTTTGGCAGCCCAGCGTAGGCAGATGCTGGTTGTTCTTGCTGCAGCATTCATGTAAATTGAATTAAGAACCTGAATTATTTTAATAGCACCCGGAAGACTCAACTTGTTTTGAAGAGGTTCCCGAGGAGGTGGCCAGTGGTCCCGGGTGGGTGTTGGGGGATGTTTAAACAATGGAGGAACACACAGCATCCCTGACCGCAGCTTTTATTTTTTCTCCAACAGATTTGTGCACCTGCAGATCCCTCTGTTCCCCTGACCGTTAAAAATCACACTGAGGTTCTGCGATGCTTCACTGTTCTGGGTAAGGATGACGTGGTGCTGCACCGGGGCTGGTTTTTTCCCTGCCACTGGGGTTTTTCCCGGCATTCCATGGTCCTCTCCAAGGATTTGTGCCTGGGAACTGGAGGGGTTTGTTCCCTTTGGTCTGAGCTAGGCTTCAGGGATGACATCTCTCAGCCATGTGGGGGGATGGAGGGAGGGCAGGGTGGGGGGTTCTGTCCTGGCTTGCAGAAGGCAGGAGCTTTGGGTGTCCCAAAAAGCTGCAGCCAGGGAGAGCATCTTTCTCCAGAGCTCTTGGAGGAAGACTCTGCTCCCCTGGAGCTCGCAGCTGGCTCAGGACCTTCCCCAAAGGCGCCTGGTTTGGTTTCAAAAGTTTCCTTGGAGCCTTTTGAGCTGTGCCAGCCTGCTGAGACCTCTCCCAGAACCAGGTTCTGCAGACAGCCATGCCTGCGGTCAGGGGCAGGGGATGTGGTTTGATTTTGGGGTTCCCCTGCTCCTCTGTGCTCCTCGCTGCTGTACCTCATGTACGGCTGATGCAGTTATTCCGGGGTACAGTCAAGCATTCAGAGCATGGTGATACTGAGATGTGGGCTGACCTACAGCCTGTGCATGGAGCCCCGTGCCGGAGCCTTGCCTCCCCTGGTTCTGCCCCTCCTCACCGAATGGCTGTGGCAAGGACAGAATCGTGTGCAATTGACAGAAAAAGAGCAGTGGTGTGACAAACTGCTGCTGATGTCCCTTCCTTGCCAGCGTTGGCGAAGGCAAACCTGCAGCTGAGCATCCAAAGGAGTCTCGGAGCAGCCTATCCCCTTCCCAAACCCGCCTCGCGAATGCCCACGAGTGTTGCTCTAATTTCAGCATCCACAGGCTGCTTATATTTTTAACAATCCAAATGTTTTGACAGATGGGGCAGCATTTGTTGGAAGGTATCGTTTAAACTCCTTCAGCTCCCAAGAGAGCACAGGAAATGTGCTGAAAGCGCTGGAGAAAAGCTCTGGTCGGGATGCGAAGAGCAGGATGGGGCAGTTAGCCTGGCTTTTTGGGGGGGGGGTGCAACACCTGGCTGCTTTACCAGGGAGCAGGATGGATGTCGAGGGGATGCTGTGCCTGCATCCCCCATCTTTCAGCTGCGTGCCGTCCCTGGGGTGACATGCGTGGCCGTGACGGTTGGTTTGGTCCCCGCAGCTTGCTCCTTCCCTGACCGTGTGCTGGCCTTCCTCCTGCCCAAGCTGGAGAGCAGCAGTGAGAGGACGCGCGTGGGGACACTCCTCATCATGCGGCAGATCATCAACAGCGCCCGTGAGTACTTGGGGGGCTGCCCCACGGGTCTGTTCCTCCCGTGGGTCGCTTTCCACGAGTCCCTTTGTTCCCCAGCGGGGACCTGGGATGAGCAGGATGAAAAGATGAGCCCATCCTTGGCTGCGGCGACAGGGGAGAAGGAAACCCGTCTGGTAGCCCAGCCAGTGGGGGAGGGGACAAGGGACAAAGCCCTCGCTGTTGGGGATGGGGATGTTCGGGATCAGCAGCTTTGGAGCATCACTGAGCTTCAGAATCGTTTCAACACTCTCCCAGGTGTTGGGTGCCAAGATCATCAAACCACAGAATAGTCTGGGTGGGAAGGGACCTTAAAGCCCATCGAGTGCCTCCCCCTGCGGGACACCTTCCACTAGCCCAGGTTGCCCAAAGCCTCATCCAGCCTGGCCTTGTACCCCTCCAGGGATGGGGCATCCACAGCTTCTCAGAGTCCATCCTCTTTTTTTTCCAGCCTCTCAAATGGAGGTTAAAAAGCCCTTTATTCTTTCCTCAATGAAACTTGCTCTGCAGGACAGCAACAATAAGGTAAACCAAGCTTCTGCTCTTCCACGGGGTATTTCAGGGGGTTTATTTCTGGGGCCCTGCACAGCCGTGCCCCCCATCTCTCCTCCACCGCCTCCTCCTCTTCCTCATCTCTCTCCAGGTTGGGGTTTTGGCCATTCTCCCAGTAATGCGGGAGCATGCAGAGGCTTGTTTTCCATCTGTGCCCTGTGCAAAGAGCACATCTGGGTGTCGGCAGACATTCCTGCCGCTCCCGGGAGCACCGGGCTGCCAGTGACTCAGCTCACGCTGTCACAGGGCGAAACACAAACTCGGTTTTGCGAGACATAACGGCATGTGGCGGGTGGGTTTCTGTCCTGTCCCCTCTGGACATGAGTGGCAGGCAGCTGGACCCCATCCCATGCCCCGCGGGTGCTGGTGGAGCCCAAGCCCATGGATGGGACCTGTCGTTCTGTTCCTGCTGTCAAGGAGGAGGAGGGGGCGGTGAAGGGCAGCCATGCAGAGGACCCCGCACTGACGCTGTACTCTGCCCGCGCAGGTGAAACGTGCCATGGTGCAGGTAATCAGCGCCATGGCCCACCACGGCTACCTGGAGCAGCCCGGCGGGGAGGCGATGCTGGAGTTCCTCGTGCGCCAGTGTGCCCTGCCCTCGGACGCGGTAAGCACGTCCCGGCAGGATAAAACCCCGCAGAGCTCTCCTATCCAGCCTCTGGCCACAGCTGGCCTCGGCGTGGGTCACTTCGCTTCGCCTGCAGCCTCTCGACCCCCAGCCCTCCCCACGACAGCCCTTGCTCGAGGACCAAAGTGTCCAGGCCACCCTGGACCCTTGGGATGTCCCCCTTGATGTCCCCACCACCCCAGCCCTTGCACAACAGTGCTGCAGCTTCCTCCCCATCTTTTCCCCTTATGATGTGTTGTCCTGCCTCTGGAGTAAGGAGGAATCAAGGGGAAAACTCCGGAGCATGAGAGATGCTTTTGAGGTGGCCGTCCCTTCATCTCCCTGCATCGGAAGGATGCTGGTGAGGACGTGGAGGCTGTGCTGGCAGGACCCCCACCTCACGATGGCTCCGTGCCCTGCAGGGAGCCAGGCTGGGGTCCTCTTGGTGGGGGGCAGCTCCCTGACGTGGGGGCTTGGCTGCAGAGACATGGGCACAACCAAAACCACCCCATGTCTCATCCTGTTCCCCCCGAAAGAGGAGCAGGGCAATGGTTTGGGCTGCAGGAGCTCTGAGCTCCGTGCTGCAGATGCACCACGAGCCAGGAGGTTTTTGGGTTGTTTTCCTTCCTTCTCACGTGCATCTCAAAGTGTGATTGCCGATGGAATCTCCCAAAATCCCTTTGCTGCGTCTGTGCTGAGCTGCGCTTTCCCTCCTCTTCCAGCAACCTAAAAAGCAGCTGCCGGATGCCGATGACCTCACTAGTGACAGCGTTAGGAACATCAGTGTCAACACGCTCTTTCTGCTCAGCACCACCGTCGACAGGATGAACAACGTGAGTCTGTGCCATTGGCTCTGCCTCCGGAGTGGTTGGTGCTGGCCCCAGAGCCGCTGGCCATGTTCCGGGGGTCCCGCAAAGCCCCTGTGACATGCAGGACGCCCCATCTGCCAGGCAGGAAGGGTTGTCACCACTCCCACCCCTCATAGGAGCTGTTTCCAGCATCCCCTCCCCTCCGAGAGCAGGGCAGAGGTTTGGGGTTGGGGAGAAGACCCCTGTGTGCCCTCCCCATGAACTTCTCCAAGGCTGGAGCAAGGCAGTGGTGCTGTAAATCTCAGCACAGAACAGACACGGAGCTGTTGGAGCGGGGCCAGAAGAGGCCACGGAGATGGTGCGAGGCTGGAGCCTCTCCCTTGTGAGGACAGGCTGAGAGAGTTGGGGGTGTGCAGCCTGGAGAAGAGAAGGCTCCGGGGGAGACCTTCTGGCAGAACTTCTGGGGGGCAGAACTCCAGGAAAGATGGGGAGACCCTGGCCCAGGTTGCCCAGAGCAGCTGTGGATGCCCCATCCCTGGAGGGGTTCAAGGCCAGGCTGGATGAGGCTTTGGGCAACCTGGGCTAGTGGGAGGTGTCCCTTTGCCCAGAGAAGCTGTGGATGCCCCATCCCTGGAGGGGTTCAGGGCCGGGCTGGATGAGGCTTTGGGCAACCTGGGCTGGTGGGAGGTGTCCCTGCCCATGGCAGGGGCTGGCACTGGATGGGCTTTAAGGTCCCTTCCCACCCAAACCCTTCCATGATGGGATGAAAGGGAACGCCCTGGGGCTGGAGCTTTGGTGCTGCTGGAGTAGAGCACAGGCAGTGAAAATCTCGCCTTCCTGAACAAGAGCACAAGAGCACCGCGCTCCCCTTCTCCCGGCAGGTCCTGTGGCCATACCTCCTGGAGTTTGTCACCCCCATACAGTTCACCAACGCCCTCGCTCCACTCTGCAAGAGCCTCATGTACTTGGCCATGAAGAAGCAGGAGGAGGGAGAAAACGCGTCCCTGATCCGTTATGACCTGAACGGTCAGTACCAGCCCCCCGGCAGACAGTGGGCTGCGCCGAACCTGGGACTCGCCAGCAAGCCGGGCAGGCACTGGGAGATGCCATCTCATGCTTTTTTCCCTTTTTCCCTGTTTTTAGCGAACCTTCCTTCGCCCTACGCTCTAACGACAAGACTGCTGGTAAGTGGCCTGGAGGCAGAGCTCTCCTTTTCTCCGGTTACCAGCGCATCCCAAAAAACCGCCCTCCCTCCCCTGTCCCAGATGGATGAAGAGTAGCCTGTGCTAACCCTGCGCTGGCAAACGGGCAGGGGGAATGCCCTGTTTCACCTCCCCGCTCTGCGCAGAGGTGCCCAAATCCATCACTGCCGTGCCCCTCTCGAGGGGATGCAGCCCTGTCCCCTCTGCACACAGGAGCAGCTCCACGCGCTACAGGAGAGCTCAGATTCCCTCTTGGATACCCTGAGCCACAGAAGCGGGGTGTGCTGCAGTGCAGACCCCCAGCTGCAATTACAGGGATTTGCAAACCTCAGCCCGGGGGTTTGCTCCCCTTTTGCCCTGGGATGAGTCCAGGGTATGGAGATGTTCCCTCCTGACATCATTTTTGGAGAAAAAAGAGAAGTTTCTTTGACGTGTAGTGATCAGTTGCTTCCCAGTATCATATTCTGCTCTTTTGTCTCATATTTTCTGCCTCACAACCTGGAAATTCTGGATTTTCTCTGCGCTAACACCCTTTTTTACCTCCCCACCCTCCCAGGTGGTGTCATCGCAGCCGTACGCAGGAGACTGCCGGGGCACGGCTGCCCTGCGCCTGCTCCATGTCTTGCATTGCAGCGTCCACCCTGCGCTCGACCAGCTCTGGAGCAAGCGCGTCCCGCTCTTGGTGGAGCACGTGGAAGGTAGGAAGGGGCTTCTGCTCCGGAGAAACACTGCTGGAGTCGCCTTCTCCAAACTGTGTGCCCGTAGACTTGGGGGTGTCCAAGAAAAGGGAGTGTGGGTCCTGCCCGCTGCCTGATGAGCATCGGTACATTGAAACTGTTTCCTATTTTAATAAGGACTTTTATACTTTAATAAGGACTTAAAACACCGTTTCCTATTTTAATAAGGACTTTAATGCCATTTACTATTTTAATAAGGATTTTTATCACCCTGGTGCCACTAATTCCTCCCAGGAGTGCCTCTGTCTGGGACACACAGCATTTTGGAGAGGGGTCTGCCCCTGCCACGGTGAGAAACCAGCGTAAAAAAATGTGCTTTCTCCTAGAGAACACGGAGAAGTCGCTGTGCCAGAAGGAATGGGAAGAGAAGCTGCTGCTGGTGAGGGTCCCTGTGCCGGGGAGGCAGCGGGGCGGTG